AATGGATAGTGAGTCCAAGAAGAGCGTGAAGCAGATGCTGGACACAACAAAGAATAGCATTCAAGGCTTTAAATCCATCAATATACAATTGGAAAACACCGAAATAGTTTTCGCAAGGGTTATTTTAAGGAAATTTGACAGAAATGGATTAAGGCTGTACGAACAGCAAACAAGAAAACCAAGAGAAACACAAAAGTTAAGTGACGTTATTCAGTTTTTGGAACAACAATATTTGGCGTTGGAAGCAGAGGTCGAAGATAAGCTGTTTACAATCGAGATGAAGAAGAACAAGGATATCCGTCTGTATCGCTGGGGCAATAAGGTGCTGAAGGAAGCGAAAGTTGCCATGAAGATGCCTGGTGGAAATTATGCAGCTAGAAAAAGGCAGGCTGGAGAGACAAGAAATTATGAACTCTGGGGCGATAAACTGTCTAAGGACTGTAAGATGGCGTTGCCAGAGAGCGATGACAGAAAGAGGACGATGAATAAAACGGATTCAGCCTGGAAATTAAAGCCGGCAGACAAAGGAGGTGGGACGTTCAAGATAGACCGGCTGGAAAGATGGAGGAGTTTCCTGGGTGCCATAACTTAATTTCTTTTCTATTAAAATGTCTGTTCCCTTAGATTTATTAAACTTTTTATAATTTTTATATTTTATACGTATTTTTGCCCCTGCCAAGAATGTTCACGGATAAGTGAACATGTTTTTATAATAAAAGAGAATAGCGGGGCTAACTAGTGTAGATGATAGGGATTTGTTAAACAGGGATCTTTTTAATACAGTCCATATTATATAAGATAAGAAAATGTGGTGAATAGACATTTGAGTTAGAAATAAATAATTCAATTGCTGCATGTGGTATGTTTGAGTTAGATTACTGGATGAAATCTTAACTCATACTGATAAGGAAGTGCAGCATGTTTGCTTGCCACAAGTGAGATAGCTACGCATGTTTTATGACCTCCCCTAGAATTTATGGCGGCATGGTGCACAGGCATGTGTAGATTTGTATCTCTCTATTTCTCTCTTTCTCTCTTACACTTTATGCTAGACTAGGTTAAGAAAAATTATCATAAGTAGAACTTAAGAATTATTTTAAATGAATAAAAACAGTGTAGTAACAAAAGTAAAACGGTGCATACAATTTCTTCCGCGTACAATTGTCTTGGTAAAAATAATAATCTTCGCCAAGGCCAAGCTTTTCCTTACAGAGTGGCAAACTTTCTTTCAAAATGTTAAGGTACATAGTCTGATCCATAATACACTCCATAAAATGCAAAACACTAGGTCCAGAGGATGAAGATGAACCCCACACCATTACTGAGCCACCACCGTGCTTCACTGTAGGCTTCAGATTTTTTGGCAAGAAGTGCTTCATTTACCTTTCTCCATACAAAGAGGGTGAGACAAAAAACTGAAACAAAGTCAAACGCCATATTTTTTTCCATTTTCTTTAATTTTATTGAATGAAAGCAAACAAGTTAAAAAGCAGTAAGTTCGGCCGGGCCGAACTTTTAATACCCTCCACCATTTGCAACGAATTTGGAAAATTTCAAAAAATAAAATCCTTAAAAAATTCTGTTAAAATTTTGAAAATACCGAATATAGCCGTTATTTTGGGGTCTATACGACGTGGGCATACATAGGCATTGTCTCTCATAAGCCATTACCATATTCAAATTCGAAACTTGAAATAAACGGTGAATAATGTAGCTAAAATCATCAAAATACCGAATATAGGGAGGTACCGTTATATGGGGGCTATCCGAAGACCTGGCCCCGCACAGACAATTTTCTGTCACAGACTGTAGTTCCCATAACGAACATCAAATACCAATTTCAAAACAATTCCGGTGAATAATGTCGCTAAAATCATCAAAATACCGAATATAGGGAGGTACCGTTATATGGGGGCTATATGAAGACGTGGACCTGCACAGACAATTTTCTGTTTTAGGGTGTAGTATCCATTTTGAACTTCAAATACCAAATTTGAAACAATTCCCGTGAATAATGTCGCTAAAATCATCAAAATACCGAACATCGGGAGGTACCGTTATATGGGGGCTATACGAAGACGTGGACCTGCACGGATAATTTTCCGTCTTAGGGTGTAGTATCCATTTTGAACTTCAAATACCAAATTTGAAACAATTCCCGTGAATAATGTCGCTAAAATCATCAAAATACCGAATATAGGGAGGTACCGTTATATGGGGGCTATATGAAAACGTGGACCTACATAGCCCATTTACGAACTTAACCTGCCTACTGGAAAAATAAACATGTGTGCAAAATTTTAGCCACCTATCTCAATTCATTCGAAAGATAGCGTGATTACAACAGACAGACAGACAGACGGACAGACAGACAGACAGACAGACAGACAGACAGACGGACAGACAGACAGACGGACATCGCTAAATCGACTTAGAATTTTACGCTGATCAGGAATATATATACTTTGTTGGGTCTGATATGAGTATTTCGAGGAGTTACAAACGGAATGACAAAGTTAATATACCCTCCATAGTATGGTGGAGGGTATAAAAATGTCGGAAATAGCATCACATTTTAAAATAAGTTTAGATTTTTTCGAATTGGTCACCTTTGGCACGAATTATGGCCTTCAAACGGCCACACGCTCTGAGGTATTTTGACCCATTCCCCGCGAAGGGCTTGCTTGAGGTGATCGGTGCTGAGTGTGATGGTGCTGATGATGCTGTTGGAATTTGTTTGTTTACAAACTGCTGGAATGTTTTCTCATCGGTGAAAACCAAATTCGGCAGTTCACAACTTTCGGCCAAGTGAAGCAACTCTTTAGCTCTTATGAGTCTATTTTCTTTCTGTTGCGGTGTAAGTTCTTGCACTTTTTGGAATTTCAATGGTTTTACCCCAAGCTCATTTTTTCAATATTTTCCGAATGGAAGCAAGCTGAACATATGGCAATATTCCAATCGGGGTTTTGATCAAGTCGCGGGTTTTGATCAAGTCGCTTCTTTACTTTTCGAAACATTTCTGCTGATGTTGCTGTTTTCTTCCCTGCACTTCCTTGACGTCGGGCTACGCTACCAGTATCACGGTAACGAGCGATGGTACGAGACACATAAGATTTATTCACATTTAAATGCTGGAGTGGTCTAACCATAGCCACTTGTGGTTTTCCAGCCAAATATAAAGAAATCAGTCTATCACGCTTGAATTCCATCACGAACAACTTTTTTCTGGAAAATTCTCACCAAAATGCTTTTGTACGCTTGTAAACAATATAATAACAGCTGTCGGACAAGTGGCTTAGAAATTGCAGCATTCCGAGGTTGGTTGCAGTTTATTCATCTTACCCTGTACGATCTGCCATCTGAACCAAAAAGGTTGAATTTGCTCTCGTCCGTGAACAACAGATTCTTCTAAAATGAAAAATCTTTTGATATGTGCTCCTTGGCAAATCGCAATCAGAGGTTTATGTGTAGCTCTTTCTCCATTGTAGTTAGATTTATGCAGTACGAATAAATTTTTGCGAGCTTCGGTGCACTCAAAAATGGATCCTTTTTGATCTGCCGTACAATATATATATATATATATATATATATATATATATATATATATATATATATATATATATATATATATATATATATATATATATATATATATATATATATATCATATACAGGGTGAGGTGAAAAAACTGCAAACAACTTCAGACTGCTGTCGTTGCCACTCGTCCGACAGCTGTTAAAATTATTCCACGGACAGCTCATTTTATTGTTTAGAAGCGTACAAAAGCATTTTGGTAAAAATTTTCCAAAAAAAAAGTTATTCGTGATGGAATTTAAATGTGATAGTGTGAGTTCTATATATTTGGCTCCGCTCGTATTAATCGACCGTGGCATTCGCATAAATGCCGAATATTATGTCGAAAATAATCTGGAGGGTGTATTAAAGCCTTGGGCACGCAAACATTTTGGCCGCAGACCTTGGACATTCCAACAGGACTCAGCACGCGCCACCCAAGAATGGTTACAAAATGAGGTTCCTTGCTACATTTTCAGCGCACACTGGCCACCAAAAACCTCCCGATACCAATCCGTTGGACTATTGTGTCTGCAGTATTTTGGAAAGCAAGGTTGGCACTAAAAAATACCAAAGTGTCGATCACCTCAAGCAACCGGGAATGGGCCAAAATACCACAGAGCAACATTCGGGCAGCGTGTGACGGTTTATTGGCCGTATGAAGACCTTAATTCGTGCCAAATGTGACCAATTCGAACAAATCTAAACTTTTCTAAAATTAGTGCTATTTTCGACATTTTTGCTTTCCAATTCAATAAAATTTTAAAAAATGTAAAAATTATGGTATTTGACTTTGTTGCAGTTTTTTATCTCACCCTGTATTGTTAAGCATAAAATTAACTTTTTCTAAGAGTTTAAAATGTTTTTAGTTTTGAAAATATTTTTTTTACTTTAAGCTTACTAGTAGAGCAGTAGTAGTTATCATTGTTATTAGAACGCTGGGTTATATGATTGTCATTACTAGTAATGCTAATAGTGGTACATAAGCCCACCAATTTTTGTTGGTGAAAAAATCTTGTGAGAAGCATTTTTGAGGAATTTTTAACATAGACATTGAGCTCTATTTTCATGAACAGCGGTTACAGCATCCTTAAGGCTATGCAACATTCGACCCGGCCACAACCTACAAATGACACACATATGTATTTATTTGCATAGCTTGAAGCATGGACAATTTTATCAAAATACACCGATTATGAAAAATACCAAAAGCACACACACACACATATTTACTTTATTTTGTATTTTGCAATGATTGCATTGATATATTCAACATACATATGTATGATACAATCAAAGACATTTTTTTGACATACATATTTCAATTTGAATTCTTTAGCGAATAATATCATATGATCACATACAATGCATGTATCTATTACGAAACATAGTTCGCTCTGTGAATAGCATAACTCTATTTACTTACCTCAAAGTATTTGCATCGTTCCTGGTAGCGTTTTAATTTCGCCCGCCGATGATAGATGATGAATATTGTCAGCGATAGAATGGCAACACAAAATATTGGAGCTAAAATGACTGCCACCACTTTGACGAAGTGATTTTTCTCTGGAACGATAAATAAAATGTGAAATATATTTTATAATAACTGGATTGCCAACCGTAACTGGGTGAGAGAAATTGTGAAAAATATTCTCACACAATATGTGATATTCAATACTTTGTAGGTGGAGACGCTGTGGTGTTGATCTCAATTTACAGATTCGCACGAAAATAACAAAAGGGAACCGTTCTCAGATTCTGGAAAATGGTTTGGCAATAAATAAATGTTTTGGTGGGAAGTATCTTCCTTTGGAGGTTGGCATTTTAAGCGATAGCAATAAGTTTCATTGTCGATTTAAACATATTCAAAAATAGAACAGTGTTGGCTCGTTTGTTCGGGATACCACAGTATTTTGTTGTTGCAAAATGGTCAGGCTTAATCCCTCTACTGTTGTTTTTATAAAAACAACGTTTGTTTATTAGTGGAGAACGATGGTAATGTTTACCAGGGGGTAAGGTTTCGGAAAGAGCCACCAATCATCATCAGTTCCCTTGTTTTTTTGTCTGTGATATTCTCCACAGAAGTTATTTTAAAAATACCTTCTATGACAAAAAAAAAAAACTTTTTTACCCAAGTGACGAGATCGTAAGCTCAATAGAAGAGGAACCAAAGAATTGCATAAAACTGATTAAGGATTAAGCCTGACCATTTTGCAACAACATATTCAAAAATCTGCATATAGTGTCAGGAGAACTGTTAAAATTCTTTTATTGGTAAAATAGAGCCTTATGGGTCCAAGATGTGCTTTTAAAAGCTGTACTAGAAAAAAAATGCAATGAAAAGTACAGCCAGAGAAACACTTTACGCGCTCATCAGGCATACATGTGGTGTGGATGATGGCTTACAAGGTTCGTTGTTTGGAAAGTAGTATTTATTTCGAAGTTTTTGCACATTAAACAATATAAGTATTATAGTAGAACAACTCTACTAAAACGACATGAGCAATATACAGGGTGAAATAAAAAACTGCAACAAAGTCAAACGCCATACTTTTTACATTTTTTTTTTAATTTTATTAAATGAAAGCAAAAAATGTCGGAAATAGCATCAAATTTTAGAATAAGTTTAGATTTTATCGAATTGGTCACCTTTGTCACGAATTATGACTTTCAATACGGCTCTGCGGTATCGGTGATCGACACTTTGGTATTTTTTAGTGCCAACCTTGCTTTCCAAAATACTCCAGACACAATAGTCCAACGGATTGGCATCCGAAGATTTTGGTGGCCATTGTTGGCTGGAAATGAAGCGAGGAACCTCATTTTGTAACCATTCTTGGGTGGCGCGTGCTGAGTGCGATGGTGCTGAGTCCTGTTGGAATGTCCAAGGTCTACCGACAAAATGTTTGCGTGCCCAAGGCTTTAATACACTATCCGGAATATTTTCGCGATAATTATCGGCATTTATTCTGATGCCATGATCGATTTATACGAGCGGAGAGCGACCACACCATCACCATTGCCGGCGCTTGAGTTCTGGTGATCAACCGGGCAATCGGTGCACATTTTCAGCTGACCTCTTTGGCAAGTAAACACGATCATTTTGTTTGTTTACAAACTGCTGGACAACGAATGTTTTCTCATCGGAGAAAACCAAATTCGGCAGTTCACCACTTTCGGCCAATCGAAGCAACTCTTGAGCTCTTTTGAGTCTATTTTCTTTCTGTTGCGGTGTAAGTTCTTGCAATTTTTGGAATTTCAATGGCTTTATCCCGAGCTCATTTTTCAATATTTGCCGAATGGAATATTGCGATATGTTCAGCTCACGAGCCATTTTTCGGCCACTGCGACGCGGGTTTCGATCAAGTCGCTTCTTTACTTTTCGAATCATTTCTGTTGGTGTTGCTTTTTTCTTCCGCTTACTTCCTTCACGTTGGGCTATGCTACCATTATCACGGTAACGAGCGATGGTACGAGACACAAAAGATTTATTCACTTTTAAATGCTGGAGTGCTCTATCGACAGCCACTTGTGGGTTTCCAGTCAAATATAAAGAAATCAAACTATCACGCTTGAATTCCATCACGAATAACTTTTTTCCGGAAAATTCTCACCAAAATGCTTTTGTACGCTTGTAAACAATAAAATGAGTTGTCACTGGAATGATTTTAACAGCTGTCGTACGAGTGGCTAAAAATGACAACGGTCGGAAGTTGGTTGCAGTTAATTCATCTCACCCTGTATTTACAACTCTAATTCTGATAATTGTTAGTGAAAAGTTAATTTAAATTTTGTCCCGTGGTGTGGGAGGTACCAGAAGGAGTGGTCCGATATATTTCATCTTCATACCAGACCTTGTGTTGATAAAAATATTGACATGCAAGAAACTTGAAGACAATCAAACCCTTATTTCAGACCTTTTGTTGGGGAGCTACTTCATGGAGTGGGCCGATATTGTCCATTTTTACACCTGACCTATAACAGATACGATTATTGGAATTTGCAAAGTTTAAGCAAAATTGGATAAACCTTCCTTTTTCTATGAGATAAGTTTCTTTGAAGGAGTTTACCGATATTACTCATCTCCGAATACTATTTAAGTTTGAAAATAATATTACGATGTACCAAGTTTGGACCAAATCGAATACTCCCTTCGAGAGTAATCGTGCGCACCAGCCAGCCAGACAGACGTACGGACTAACACCCCCAGATCGACTCCAAATGTTCTGAAAAGTGTTTGGTCCAAAGAAACCTAGGGTTAGACCCTACCGTTAGACTTTCAAATCTGGCGGTATAGTTTTATTGGGTCTATACCAAAACTTGGACCTACTTAGCCCAATTTCAATACCAAAAGTCCTGCAGACTAAAATAAATCCGAGTAAAATTTGATCGATCTACTTTATTTCGTTGGGTAGACGGACCGAAATCGCCAAATCGGAATAACAAACTTATTAAAATAGGGATGAAAACATGGAGGAGGCAGCCATTGGTCGAGACCTATTTAAGCTTGACTAAATCAAGGTGTGTAAATGTCAGTCCTGATGAAACGGAGATATGTCACATTGAAAATATTAGAAAATCTTCTCACTAAATGTTACATAAACTTATTTGCAATATATATTATTCGCACGCCATCCCTATTTTTAGTAATCTGAACAATGGAACTAAAAATATCTTTGAATCGCCTTAATGAAAAAAAATGTATTCACAATTACTTTATGCCATGTCAAAAAAGGCCCACATGTTGACAAATATGTCATTTTTATGACATAAACAGATTTCGTCCTACGGACAACGACACAACTGACACTTATATATTTACAAAGTACAAAGAGAAAAACACATTTGTTGTCTTAATTGCGAATGTCAAGGCCCATTTGTTATTTGTCAACAAATTATTGGTTAGGTGCTGAAATTTAATTTTTATTTAATATTTTTTTTAAACAAATGTGATGTCACAAAAACATACACAGCCGCAACCAAAAAATTGAATTTTGTAATTTAATTTGTTTATGGTGTGGTTAACGTTGACTTCTTTGTACCTGCTAGGGTAGTGTTCCACTCACCTGCATAAATTAAAAATCTTAATAGCTGAAAGACTTACCAGGTATATGAACAATTGTCTTTGTAACATCCGTCAATGATGCGGTTGTGCTGCCACCCACAGAGGATGCTGTCAGGCTCACTTCGTAAAACACTCCGGTAATAATAATACGGTCTATGAAAAAATTATGAACATCCTGCAATGACAAACACGAAGACGAAACGAAAAAAGAAAACAATTAATTGAGTATAAAGTATGAAACAAGTGCAGTGTGGCCATGGATTGCTTTAGACGTTTATCAGATACCCCCATTCTCACTTGTTGACATCCTGTTTCTTTAAAGTAACGAATTCAAAAGAAATGGTACCAAAACCGGGTTTTTTAATTAATTTGACTACATTTTACTAAAAATGCATCTCGAAACCATTTTAGGGGGCAAAATATGAAGTTTTCCATGTAAAATATACAAAGAAAAAATCAGACAAGTAACCATTTTGGATGGTGCCGGTTCGCAGGAACCTTCTAAGTTCGTCCATACATTAAAATAGTTTAAGATTTCACTTTATTATTAAAAGTATATTGGTTTACTGGTTATATTTCACCAAAATTAAGTACCTATTTTCTCCTACTTGTTTTTTTATACCCTACACCACAAGGTGGTCAGGCCATTTTGCAACAACAAAATACTACGGTATCCCGAACAAACAAGCCACTCTGTTCTATTAATAGACAAGGCACGGTCGACGAAGGGCTTTTTGTTGTAACAGACAAAACCAACTTACATGGTTATGCTACTTCGTTCAGGTTGAACGAAAGCATAACAAGTGGAGAATGATGTAAATGTTTATAAGTGCGGTTGTAAGATTTAGAAGACTTTCCAAAAGAATTTCAGTTTTATTTAATTCTTTGGTTCCTCTTCTATTGAGCTTACGATCTCGTCACTTGGGTAAAAAAATATTTTTTGTCATAGAAGTTATTTTTTAAAATAACTTCTGGGGAGAATATCCCAGACAAGAAACAAGGGAACTGATGAGGATTGGTGGCTCTTTCCGAAACCTAGGTATTCCCTGCCTTACCCCCTGGTAAACATTACCATCGTTCTCCACTAATAAACAAACGTTGTTTTTATAAAAACAACAATAAAGGGATAAAGCCTGGCCATTTGCAACAACAAAATACTACGGTATCCCGAACAAATAAGTCACACTGTTCTATTAATTGTGCACCAAATGGATAATACAAGCCCGAATTGAAAAGGCGCAAATGCCTCGACAATCGATTCACTGGATTATATTTCTTCCATATATAAGTTTCTTTCGACTTTTAATTATTACTATAATCATAGTTGGTATGATTTAATTGTCACAATTTTCCCATTAAAATTTTTATTTGTTAAGTGAAGCTCTACTAAATATGCAAAGTGCTGTAGGGCTTTAAGATTTTCTTCACTGGTTTCTTATAAAAACACAATAAAGAAAATATATTTTTTCTGGCATTATTGAAAAATAAATTATTTTTCGTACTGAAATCTGAATGATTTATACAGAATTCTCAGCGAATTCTTGAATAAAATATCAGTGTGGAATTTGCTACGAATATATCAGTATAGAATTTGCTACGAATTAATATATTGTTATAGCAAGTGCCAGCTACTTCGTCAAGGAAAAGTCCACCATAAAATCTTAAATTCGTTCCAATAGTTTTTGTTCCCTCCACCATAAATAGCATAATACGTTCGTCATTCCGTTTGTAACTCATTGAAATAATCATTTTAGACCCAACAAAGTATATATATTCTTGATCAGTGTAAAATTCTAAGATTGTCCGTCCGTCTATTGTAATCACGCAACAGTCAAAAGCTAAATTTTTTTTTCAAGTCAAATTTATTGAGTCTTTGTTTTTTTTTTTTTAACACGAAAGTTTATAATTTTAAAGTGAAGAAAGAAATACTTAAAACTATAATGTTTTGTTTTAATGACTAAAGCGTATTTTCAGCGTCTGGCTTTACTTAAATTTGTTAGTTAGTGTTTACTAAACTATGTGTGTATATCGTGCTTGCTCCCGGCACTACAATGTTTGAGAGCATGTCTCATTTTATTTACCTTAAAACTAACTTAACCTAAACCTAACCCACACTTAAACAACAGAGATGATCAAACGAAAGGTTGTTCATCTAAGTTGTTAACTAGCCCCTGTGAATTCCACGAGAGGTGTTAACGTAAAATTCTGGACACTGAATATCTTCCAGAGACATGTACAAGTTAATACCTAACGGTAAGACGTAATTAGTATTTTCCCACGTGAAATTAGATTCCTTATTGACACTATTTTTCTATGGAATTGTCTGAAATTCTACACAAGGATTCTTTATAAGTACTTTACCCCCTAAAAGAGAATTGTCTATATAGGTCCACAATATCGTATATCCGTATATCCCCCATATAACGGCACCTCCCGATATTCGGTATTTTTATGATTTTAGCCGCATTTTTCAATGGAATTGTCTTCAAAATTTTGACCCTTTGTGGGGAGGTATTTGGAATTGATCGATGTTGTTAATTTTCGCACCTGACCGAGCACTAATGCAAACATTAGGATTTGCAAAGTTGGAGAAAAATCGGATTACCCTTTCTCTTTCTCTGCAGCAAAATATATGTTTTTGCAAATTTCGATATTTTGTGGGGGAGGTACAAGAAGGAGTGGATATTGCCCATATCCGAAATCCATCTAAGTTTGATAATAATATTACCAAATCGGTTACTCTTTTCGACAGTTATCGTGCGCACCAGCCAGACAGACAGACGGACGGACATCGCTAGATCGACTCCAAATGTCCTCAAACGGAGTTGGTCCAAAGAAATCTAGGGTCTAAAATCGATGAGGCACGTTTTGGCCGTATCAAATGATATATACCCCCTGTAGTCATATGGCTGAGGGTATAATAAATAACATTTACTTTTCGGGGGCGGAGAAAAAGATGACTCGCGAGTCGGGTTCCTATTAAAAAAGGCCGTACTACTCCTTTATATTCCGTTTGGAACATTCTGGGTTATGTGTGATAAAATAGATTCCATTCCATAGGTTCTCCAATTAATATTTATGTTTTTACGTACTATATTCGATATTTTGAAACTAAAATTTATTAATCATTTGACACATTTAAAATCATAAAAAACCGAATATCGGGAGGTACCGTTATATGAGGGCTATACCAAAACGTGGACCCATACATGCAATGTTTCGCCATCGATGCTGGAACCCATTATGACCAACAAATACCAATTTTTAGACTAATCCGTGAAAAAATGTGGCAAAAATAATCAAAATACCGAATATCGGGAGGTAGCTTTATATGGGGGCTATACCAAAGCATGGACCTATACATGCAATATCTCGCCACACGAACTGGGACCCGTTGTGACCTGCAAGTACCAATTTTCAGACAAATCCGTGAAAAAATGTGGCATAAATCATCAAAATACCGAATATCGGGAGGTACCGTTATATGGGGACTGTACCAAAACGTGAACCGATGTATCTCATTTTCTATACCAACCATCCTAGACACAATACAAACTGCTCTGCTAAATTTTGCCGCTCTACGTCAAATAATGTGGCCTGTATCGTGATTTCAACAGACAGACAGACAGGCGGTCATCGTTACATCGACTTAGAATTTTATGCTGATTATGAATATATATACTTTATGGGGTCTACGACGAATATTTAAGGATGTTACAAACGGAATGACAAAGTTAATATACCCTCCTTTCCAAGGTGGATGGTATAAAAATATATGTATTAACATCCTTAACTTGATATTGTAAATCGGGCGTTACTGTTACGTTCGGATTGTGAAAAAATATTTAAATAATTTTTGGATTTTTTTCTTTTGAGACCATTCTGTATTTTTATTGAGTTTCTTCCTGGCAGTTTTGTCGTCTTACTTTTTAATCGATTCCACCATAAGTTGTCTTTTTAATATCTTATTATCAGTTTTGATGCATCCTTTTTGTCAATATTTTGCCTGATTTAACTTCTATTCGATGATTTTGCTTTAACTGATTGTAAGCGATAATTACAATCTCTTCACAAACGACTACAATTTTGATCTCTTTAAATTAATTTTTTCTGAATCAATTTATAGCCATGCTGTGCTTTGTTCTTTGAACTCTGTTGGGATTTAAAAAATCACAATTACCTTTGAAACATTAAAGTAAAGTCTCTGGCCGTGAGGTGAGAGATCAGTAACAAATAATGTGTAGTTGTCAGGCAGGTACTGGGGCTGGTTCCAGCTGATGTTGAGCGAATACACATTTTGTTCCAGGAACGTTTGCTCAATTTGTAGATTTTTTGGTGGTTCAGGAGCTAAAAATAAAATTGGAAATTAAATAAATATTTACAGTTTGAAAAGTAACACATACATAGATAAGGCTTGGTACATGTTCATGTATAATGGTTAATTATGACAGATTTTTATTTGATATGGATATGGAGACAAATCCATTAAAGGTATTAAAAACTTTTATGGATCATTAATTTTTTTCATTTGTATGGTAGTTTTCACATAGTTTTCAAATTTCATAATCCCTCAATTCCCTTTCAACTTACCACAAATATTGAAATTGTAATTATGCCACTGAACGCATGATGGCGCACGAAATGTTTTCCAAAAAAGTTCGCTCTCTTTCATGTTTTTCGTGTTTGTTGCTCGGATACCCACTTTGTATACCGATGAAAAGGTTAAGTTTTCCAGGCGATATTTATACAGCTGACGTGGCTGCAACACAAAACAAAAAGAGGGAATTTTAATCTCATTAAAAAAATTGTTCTGCAAAGTTTTAATATGATTATTAATTCTATTGTAATGTGACTAAAGTTAAGTCTGCCATTGAACACATCCACAATGAGCATTGAAATGTGCAGAAATATTAACAAGTAAAAAAGGAGTTAAGTTCGGACAGTCCGAACTTTTATGGCCTCCACCTTGGTCAATAATAAAATTGTAGTGTGTGAAGTTTGAAGATGAGTCCAATTATCTTCACATTTTATTAGAGCTATAATTATTCAAAATTTTGTGGGGCAAGTAACAGATATTGTGTTTGTAGAAATAATGGGATATGTGAAATATGAATAGAACCGGATGCTTATTTCGGATTTTATAATCGTATTGGTTTTTCAAAATGTTGACCTTCTGTGTAGGAGATACCAGAAGGAATGGGCGGATCTCAACCATCTTTACATCAGATCTTTTTTTGATAGAAATATTGGGATGTGTTTAATTTGAGGACTCTTATATCACATTTTATAAAAGATATAATTATTCAAAATGTTGACCCTTTGTAGAGGAGGTACTTGATGGAGTGGAACGATATTGTCCATTTTCGCATCTGACCTAGCACTGATACAAATATTAGGATTCGCAAAGTTGGATGAAAATTTCTGTTTCTGTGCAGTACATTTTTTTTAATTCGACCAATGTTGCCCATTTCTGAACTCGATCTAAGTTTGAAAATAATATTACGATGTACTAAATTTTAACCATGTCGGATACTCCCTTCGAGAATTATTATGCGCACCAGCCAGACGAATGGACTGACACCCATATATCGACTCCAAACGTCCTGAAACGGATTTGGCTAAAGAGTCCTAGGGTCTAAAATCATTATTTCGATGAGGCACGTTTTGGCCGTATCAAATGATATATCCTCTGTAGCCATAGGCTGAGGGTATAAAAAATATTTTATGATTTAATTTTTGATTTAACACAAGAAATCCATTAAAAAATATTAAATATACCGAATATCGGAAGATGCCGATATATGGGTGGATATACGATATTGGGACCTATGTAGACAAATCTATGTCTGGAGGTAAAGTACTCACAAAGAACTCCTTGTGTAGAATTTCAGACAATTCTATTGAAAAATGTGGCTAAAATCATTAAAATACCGAATATCGGGCGGTACCGTTATATGGGGGCTCTACGATATCGTGGACCTACATATAAATTCCTTCAGGCGGTAAAGTACTCACAAAGTACTGTGAACATTTCCTAATTCGTTCCAAATTGTGTAGTATTTCAGATAATTGCATTGGGGGGTACCTCAGCCATAGGGTCATAGGCTGAGGGTATAAAAAACATTTATGATTTAATTTTTCATTTAACACAAGAAAATAGGGAGAGGTTACAAAATGCAAAAAAAAAAAAAAAGAAACAAGCATAAAAGCAGTAAGTTCGGCCGGGCCGAACTTTGAACACCTTCCACCATTTGGAACGAATTAGGAAATGTTCAAAAATATAAAATCCATTAAAAAATCTGTTATAATCTCAAAAATACCGAATATCGGAAGGTGCCGATATATGGGTGGATATACGATATTGGGACCTATGTAGACAAATCTATGTCTGGGGGTAAAGTACTCACAAAGAACTCCTTGTGTATAATTTCAGACAATTCTATTGAAAAATGTGGCTAAAATCATTAAAATACCGAATATCGGGCGGTACCGGTGTATGGGGGCAATATGATATCGTGGAACTATATAGACAATTATCTCCCAGGGGATAAAGTACTCACAAGGAGCTCCTTGTATGGATTTTCAGACCATTCCATTGGAAAATGTGTGTAAAGTCATCAAAATGCCGAATGTCGGGGGGTATCGTTATATGGGGGATATACGATATCGTGGACCTATATAGAGAATTCTCTTCCAAGTGATAAAGTACGTACAAGGAACTACTTGTGTAGATTTTCAGACAAATCCATTAAAAATATGTGGCTAAAATCATAAAATACCGTTATATGGGGGCTATAAGATATGGTGGACCGATATAGACAAAAGACAGAACTGTGCAAAAGTTTAGCTTTACATCTTAATTTGTTTTGACTGTGGCGTGATTGCAACAGACGGACTGACGGACAGTGCTAAATCGTGTTAGAATTTTACGCTGATCAAGAATATGTATACTTTGTTGGGTCTAAAATTATTATTTCGATGAGTTACAAACGGAATGACGGGTATAAAAACAAATCCATCGAAATCGTATTTTTTTGGTTAAATATGTCGAAAAATGTGGGTTAATATGTGGTGGAAATACCAGAAGCAGAACTCCGATAAGTCCCATATTCTACACTAGATTTAATATATCTAGAAGTATCGCGTACTTCGAAGCTTAAAGAACCATCGATTTATTATTTTGCATGGATCCTTCAGTTAAGGTAACAAAAAAAGAAAACACATGTGAGCCGGTAGCTTTTCTTCAGAGTTCCCGATCATAGCCTGAGCAGCGGAATCGTTTACGATTTTAATCTTCGGACACCCGACGTCCGTTCATCGGAGTTCCAAATTATCTTCAAATCGTCAACAACCCGAGGATCATTATTATCGTAACCCCCTAAACCCGATATCCATACATCATAATCCGATTATCTAAAAATCGTCAAAAAGACTATTTCACATCTCTTACACTTCGTCTTCAACACGAGCATTAACATTGTTGACATTCCCGATCATCAATTGCGCCTGAAGAGCTATATATTGACTTCCCGAGTATACCTGAAGTCAATTCGCCAACATACCTATCAAATCCATATTATCGGATTTAACCACAAGTAATTTAGTACTAAAGTCAATAAAACAGCCGATTTTCACCCCAGGAAAGGGGGTATACTACTCTCTCAATTCATAAGGTTTAGTGGGTCCTTATGGAGACCCCGGCTGCGACTGAGCTTACCCTAACAGACGAGAAAACCACATTACAGTCTGCATAGACATGGGCATTAAATCACACGATCCAGGCGGCCAATTGACCGGTCTGGAACTTGAAGTAAAATGTTCACGGAACCTCTCAATATGCCCATTGTTACGCATTCTGTATGGCATGAGGCACCACACCAAACTGTGACTTTGTCTGAATGCATTCGTAGTTTTTGCAATATTTCTGGCTGACTTTAAATCCGACCTCCCGTTAGAAATAATTCGGAGCCATTATCCAAAAAAATAACTAGACTTCGACTCCTCTTAAAAATTTCTATATTTTACTTATTTTCCATTTTTCGTTGTTTCAAAATATTTGAAAAAAAGTGAGAAACATAATAAAAATTCCATATTCTTGTGTAAGAGGTTGATACAATTCGAGTCGGTTTTAACGGAAAACCGGCTGAAACTCTTGACAACTATAAAAATTCAAAATTTGTAAAATCGAGAGTTGCCTCCACTTGAAAGACTTTCTTAAAACGGTTTACGTTCGGTATGGCCCGGCAACGTTGCCTCCTGATTTTTATTGTTTTTAGCCCGTTAGAGAGCTTTGAATCGTCTTATAAGCGAGCAACGCTTGCAACTTATTGAATTTTTTTATCAAAATGGGTGCTTTCTTAACAAAGTTTTTCGCCGCTTCTGTGCTCGGCTACGAAGTTCACCATAGTATGGAGGGTATATTAAGATTGTCAATCTATTTGTACCGCCTCGAAATATACATTTTAGACCCTCAAAGTATATATATATTCTTGATCAGCATAAAATTCTATTTAGCGCTGTCCGTCCGTATGTGGAAATCATTCTAGCTTCCGAACGAAATGAAGTAGGTTGATAAAATTTTACTCAAGTATATATTATGTCTGCAGGACTTTTGGTATTCAAAAGTGGCCAAGTAGGTCCAGGTTTTGGTATAGCCCCCATTTAATTGTACCACCCTATTTTCGGTATTTTCGCATTTTAAGCGACATTATTCAACGGAAATGTTTCAAATTTAGTATTTGAAATTCATAATGGAATGATGATTTTAGCTACATTATTGACCGATTTGACCGTTTCGCATTTGAATTTTGTTATGACAATAGTTGCCTATGCAGGCCCACGTCGTCGTATAGACTCTAATATAACGACAACATTCGGTATTTTTACGATTTTAAAAGAAGTTTTAACGGTTTTTATTTTTTTTTTTTGAAAATTGCCAAATTCATTCCAAATGGAGGAGGGTATTTAAGGTTCGGTCCTGCCGAATTTACAGCTTTTTTACTTGTTGTTTGAGGATTGCCTATTTTGACAACCCCGGAATATGTTTCATATGTAATTAAACACACTCCTAACTCAAGGGTTCGACTTGAGTATGTAAATTGACTTACTCTGGGCAATTGTGTTGTCTATAGGGCCACTTACGACAAAAGTGTTTTAATACACCTCTCCACCTTTAATCTGACCACGGTTATCCAACAGCAAGTAGAATTCCCTGAGCAAGCGTAGTTCTTTCTCCTGGAAGAGCAATTTGTCCAAATATGTTGTTTCTCTGTTGAGACACGCCAAAAATTCTCGCCTTCCTTTTGTTCCACTTTTAGCTTAATTTTTATGCAATTTTCTCCAAAATTAATTTGCAATTTTTACTCAACCACTGTGTTGGGTAATATTTACTTTTTTGTTTGCCTCTAGCCCGTCACCAAATTAAAACACTTCTTCACTCTTTAGTTCCCAGCAGTCCGCTGGCCATTACAATTTAATACCCATCCAAATGTATGCTGTTTTGTCAATAGGAAAAAATGAAATAACAGTGGTTTATAGCATACAACTAGCATCCGATTTGGATGAGTCGCATTGCTATTACATTGTGGAACAAAATCCATATTAGAATTAAAGAACAAAACAAAACATAATAAAATGTGTGCATCGCACTTGCATCTGAATCAGATGCCTTTGTATTGTTTTGTAAAGTTTTTTTGTGTGTGTTGTTGCAGTCGGTGTTGTGCCGTTATTCATTTTTGATGCTTCTTTCTTTTTTAAAGC